AGTAGAAAAAAAAGAGGGGGGGGGGGGGGGAAGTAAAGAAAGACTCTTTGAAAAGCTAAACACAACACACAACTTCCTATCCCACACACACACTACTGCCTTAAAGCATAGGAAGTAAAGCTTTCTTTTCTGCTACATGTACAGAAAGCCTCAACAGGAAGCAGAAGAGCAATCTTCAAATATAAAGGAGAGATCTGCAAAAAGGAAAAGAATCATCTACTCTTCCAGCTCAATGAAGATAAAACAGATAGTAATAGGCTTAAAGTACAGCAAAAGATACCAAGGCATCAGGAAAACCATCTAGCTAAGCACTAGGATAAACTGTTGAAGTAGGTTTGAATCCTCAGAATAGTATTTCACTCCTAGAACAGTCAGATGGAACCGATCACACCTGATATCTGATAGCCTGTCAACTTTAATCCTAATAAAAAACAGAACCTAGTCTTGGCAAGACTTAGGTGTGTACTTAAATTTAAACATTTGATCAGTTTCATTGAAATCAGTGGGATTTCCCCATATAAAGCACCTCATTGAACACTGTATTGTCTTTTGTCTATTCTGCACCACAAGAGCAAACCCCACTAAAATCAAGATAATAAAACCAGCAATTTGAACCTACAAAACATGCCATATTAGTATGCACAGAATCAGAATGCACGTCATGAGGCCTCAAAGTGAGCACTAAGCTGAAATCATCTGCACTCCTACCTACCCTACCATAAGAAAAAGTTGATTGTTTACAGAGTTGTTAGTTTTGGGAGTGGCTTGTGTGCCAATAGTCTGAGATGAGCCTTTGGTCAACACTGTTTGATTCAACTTTGACCACACATCACCCTTTCCTGGGCTGGGTTTCATTGCGACATTTCTGGTTTTGCCAGGATTAAGACAATTTTAGTAGAGTAACTATGCATCCCTTTCATTCGCTGAACAGGAAAAAAAACCCACCAAATAAACAAAAAGAAAATAAAAACAACCAGCAGGAGTTGCCCTACACCATTAACTTTGACTGTGGATCTGCACAAGGCTCTTGCTTGTTTATCTACCCCTTGGGGGGGTAACACTTCTTAAACTTGCATTAGGGAAACAGACATCCTAGAGTCAGTCCCCAGCACAGAGTCCAGGCCCCTGACCTCAGAACAGGAGTTAATGAGAGAAGTTTCCAGAACAGTTTGGCTGTTATCAGGGACTTGGACTCCAAGCTGAAGAGAAGCTCCAATTTGTGCCTTGATGAAGGTTCTGAAGCACTCCTCTGAATCAGAATGAAAAGTACGTGTTTGGTTCAAAAATATCCCAAACGAAAATGTATTTTGTCTGACAGTATTATAACTCCAATGAATAAATATAGGTTAAGGTATTTAAATTGTGCTAAGTCAAAAAAGGTAATGACAAAAAAAATTGAAGAGTTTTTACTTTACTAGCAACATCCCCAGCACATGACAATTTCAAAATCAAACTGGAAATAGTTTTGATTTTTTTGACACTTTTCAGACAAGAACATAACTGAACGCCACAGTGTATTTACAAACTATTTTCCAGTGTAATATTTTTCAATCAAGAATGTTTGTCACTCCTATTAATAACTTATAATAACTTATCCAATCATAGTTTGCGATCAACTGTAGCTTTAAACATAATTTGAAGATCCCACAGCAAAAACATTGCAAGAAATACAGGCTCTTTTTCCTGGCTGGGAGCTTTGCTGTACTATTTGCACCCAAGTGCTGGTGCCATAAACTACATGAGTCATTCCTCACAGTGTATACATAACTTGCAGGAGTGGGCCCAACACAGAACTGAGCCAGAAAATACAAGGATACCATGGTGTTTTATACCTTCTAAAGAAAGTAGTTCAGACAGCTTGCAAGTGCCTCACTGCTGGGGAAACTGGGACAGTCATCTGCCCACATTTTGCAGCTCTGGGGCTAGAATAGGCAAGGACGTAGAGGGGTCTTTAGAAGCAACAGAGGGGCAGAGGCAGTCTTAGGAGTCTGAGATTGCTGAGTAGATTCCATAATATTTTGGGACAGTGGGTACTGGAACATATGTAGGACAATAATGAGGCATAAGGCAGAGCTGCTCAAAGCACATACATCTGTGAGAGACAGCAGGGTTCAAGTCAAGCAAGTGTTGGGATGCAAGAGTGCTGCTTGGATAGAGCAACCCAAGTAGAGGTTGTTAGTAAGGGCTACCAAATGCTGGCTGAACAGGTGTCCTCTGTCTGGCAGCTGCTCTTACTGTGGGTAAGAAAGGCAAGCAGGTCCCCAGGAAGGCACAGTATGGAAAATAATCTCAAAACTGAAACATAAGCAAAGAGCAGAGCTATGCAAATATACAATATCCTCACCCTTTTGGACACTGAGGTTCAGTAATGTCCTCACACTCTTCTTCAACCCAGCTTGCCTCTCCTTAAAACAAATGAGTGGAATTTATTTTTAAGACAGTGCATTCTTACTGAAAAATGCAAGTTTTCATTTTACTGGATGCTTTTAGAATTATATTATGTCCTTGCTCCTTCCATACAAATATGGATACATATAAGAGACTGTAGCAATTTGTCAAGAATATTTACCTTTACAAACAGCATTATAATTGACACAGCAATCTTTATTTTCTACACAGTCATCTGAACAGGAACAATGATATTCTGGTCGTCTCTTCTCTCCACACCTGAATTTATTGCAGGTCCATATATGGGCTAAAAAACAGACAAGAGGCAACAGCACAATTATTAATACTAGTGTAAGTCTGCACTTACACTAGTATTAATAATCGTGAGTATATTAATAATCAGTTGAGTGTAAAGTTCCATCTTAAACCTGTACTCACTAAAAACAGTCCTGAGGTATCTCACACATGCATAATAAAGCAAGCTTTGGCACTTTCAGTTGTAAACAAGTAGATCTTTTGCAGTCAATGAGGATAAACATGAATTAATTTCAGCTGTGTGAATACTTAACTGAACATCTTACAGACACATTGAAGCCAAATCTAAATGTCTGAGTAGAGGACAGTCAGTACATGATGTTCACACATGACTAGCCATTAGAAATCTCTAAAAGCATTCTCAGAAGGTTAATCTCACTGTCAGGAATACTGAACTTCAGTAGCTCCAGTAATGTCAATAGATCTTTACCTTTGTGAGAGACAGAATAATCTGTTACGGTTATAGTTATGTGACACTATCTGAAAATCAGAATTTGATTCTCCACTCATGTTAAAGCTAATTATTTAAAAAAAAAAAATCAACAAAAACAACAACAAACCAAAGAAACAAAACAAAAACTATCAAGAAAAACCCGCAGAAAACAAAAACCACAACACCAAGCAGTGAAAAGTAAATCCCACTCAACTGTTCCATAAGCAATAAGCTTTATGTAATTTAGAGGACCTTTAAGTAATAGTCAGTCGAAGCAGGGATCTGAGCTCAGTTTAATAATTTCATATTAAAAGTCAATACTGGAGTTTTTAATTTCAGGGTGGGACCACATGGATAAGTTCTGCAAATAAATATAAAGAAGAGTGAGAAGAAAAATAGTTAACTGAAAAGAATGCTGCATATGAAGCATTAAGGCAAAACCAAGTTAGAGAAAACAGTCAAGTTCTGTCCTTAGTAGTGTTACTTCCCATACTAACATCTTTGCCCATAAAACTTATGTGCTACTTTTCACACATTGGCCCACCTGACCTTTGCTTTCTGGTAAATCATGAGAACTGTTTCTCACTTCACAATCACTCTCTGCCAGTGCAATCTGTTCTGTCATCCTGCCTCGTCCCAGAGGCCAGCACGTGACCCTTGCTTCACACTCGAGCTGGAGAATTACAGGGCACAAGGCCCAAGTAGCTGGGTAGGGAGGAACAGCAGCTTTCACAGAGCAGCTCTGTCTTCCCCTTTCTTCTTGCAGGCAACAACAGAAAGATACAATATGCAAAATGTGCCCTATTTCTGGCTTTCCTGAGAATGTGGGAGCTGTCCCTGATGCTAGGGACAATGCAGGTCACTGCTCTTTCACCCCCAGACAGAACAAAAGGCTGGCTGAGACCTGGAGTTGCAGTTGTTCTTCCTCTTTCCAAGGAGGGGAGAACAGAAGCACAGTCCCTCACTGCCTCTTCCCCCACAAGAGCTATGGGAAAGCCAGCCTACTGGCTGTGCCAGCTCCTACATAGTCCAGCTGGGTGAAATACAAGCTTTGTTTGTGTACAACAGCTGCACTAAAGCCTTGACGTTTCCACAGGATACCCCAGTGCCACCATCACCACTACAAGTCTACCAGTGGTTTCAATGGAGAGAGCACAAAGAAGGGGAGACCACCAGCATCAGAACTACCCTGCTGCTCAGCAGCCCATCTCTTGCACTCGCAGCTCCACTGAAAGAGGTCAGGGGTTACAGCCATCTGATCACAACCATACTCGCATATAGAGCTGTCCCACATCACAGACTAGGAGAACACACCCCCCACAGCTTGTTGCCATCCTTACCTGGTTGTATACACGTTTCCTGGTAATCTAAGCAGCAGTTGCCAAGCTTGACACAATCTCTATCACAACGGCAGCTTCCAAAGGTCCTTTCAAAGCAGCGACCTTTACAGGTTTTCACTGGAATATTGGACAGTGTTAGATATCAGTGGCTGAGCCCAAATCAGGCAACATGCAAAAGAAATTAATAAAGTCAGCAGGTGAAGTGACACAGATGATCATTCCACAACTTACAGGATGGCTGCAAAAACTGTGACAGCCAACAGAAAAGGAAAGTCTTGATCAAACTAAATATTTTCTCTTACTGAGCAAAAATACTTTTTCATCATACTGAACAAAGGGTTCTGTTGTGTTTTAGCAGGAACATGGTGTTTTATTATTGGCAGAAACAAGTGGAACAAAAGGCTACAATTCTAGCTGACTGTCCCTGCCCTTCTGTATCACCAAAAAATACAAGTACAGTCACTCAGAATATGGAAGATCTCTATCAGAGGAAATCTGAACCTAGGTTTCCAATAAGGGTGCTCTCAACAGTGAAACTCTTTTACAGAGAACACTGATCTTCATTCCTGCATCTTACAGTATATATATAAATAATTAAACACTATTTAGAATCTAGAGTGCATTGGCTATGTTTGCAATTGTACCATGGTTAAGGTACTGTCTCAAGACACATGAACGGTTGTTCCAAACCAGACATAGGAGATATGAATTTGAATGTACTGCTCGCTGGCCTAATTTTTGTTCAGTTTTGATGTATAAAAAAAGGCATAGCATTCTTCTACTACACTGGGTTTGCCTGGGTAGAGGGGGTGGGGAAAAGGGAAACTGGCGATGTGAAGCATTAACATTTAAGTAGCTGGTCAGTCTGGAACATCTCCATTATGAGGAGCAGCTGAGGAAGCTGGATCTCCTTTAGCTTGGAAAAGAGGAGACTGAGGGGTAACCTCATTCATGTTTATAAATTTGTAAAGGGCAAGTGTCAAGAGGAAGGAGCCAGGCTCTTCTCTCTGATGTCAAACGATAGGACAAGGGGCAATGGGTGCAAGCTGGAGCATAGGAAGTTCCATGTGAACATAAGGGAAAACTTTTTTACTGTAAGGGTGACAGAGCACTGGAACAGGCTGCCCAGAGAGGTTGTGGAGTCTCCTTCTCTGGAGACATTCAAAACCCGCCTGGACGCGTTCCTGTGTGACCTGGTCTAGGTGATCCTGCTCTGACAGAGGGGATGGACTGGATGATCTTTCAAGGTCCCTTCCAACTCCTAACATTCTGTGATTCATCTTGTGCTATCATTAGTGAATGAGGTGAATTCTTCCTTCATTTGGCTCCTCTTCTCAAGAATCTTGAGGTGTGTCATATTAGCAAAAAGAGGTAATAATGAGCCAGTAGGCCTCCTAAGGAAAATGAGGAAAAAACCCTAAATAGATCCTTGTTGGAAATTAATAATTTGAATTTTGGTTAAAAGTCATTGCAGGACTGTTTGTTACACAGATTAGCTTTGAAATTATTCTAGATAGCTGTTCCCAAAGTGAAGCATGATTTCTTTAAAAATATATTTCGGAACTTTCTACCTGAAGAAATTTCACCATTGAAAAAGCCACATTTTTCAGGACAGAAGACAGCTTGAAGAATTCAACAAGGAACATTTTCAGACTACAATTCTTACGAGTAAAAAACAACCTTTTTTCCCCCCCCATAACTGACTGGAAAAGATGAAAAACAAATGTTCCAGGACAACATGAAATAGAAATTTTTTGAGGTTTTGGGTTTTTTTTATAGTGAAATGAGAAAAGCCAGCCATGTGACATCACCGCAGTGACAGTTGGGGCACATGGAGGCTGCCAGACCAGACATTGAGTGCCAGGATCCATCTACCTCTCAAGTGAGTATACACAAGTACTGAGTACACCTGAGGTTTGTTTCCCAGTATTTTCATTCCCTTTTACCTTAAGATAATTTTAAGCAATGCAACCAATCCTCTTCCTGCAGCAAGAAAGGGTGACATTCTGATAATATCCCTGCTTTTTGTAAAATATTTTGAAAAGGAAAAAAAGGAATTGCTTAGACATGTTACTAAATAAAAGGCATATTAGTTACCATCTTTTGAACAGCTGGGCTTCAGGCCAAATATACATCCTAGGATTGTCGTTAATATGCAGACACAGAGTACCTGTGGGACAGGAAGGAAAAGAAAGGAATCTTAAATGACCACTGAATGCTTTTGAAAGCTGTCATTTTCTCTACAATGCTATACAATTGTATTGAAATTGATAAACCACGCAGATTAGGAGGCAGATTTCACTGCTTTCACAAGCAGTTTTCACTCACACTAGTAGTTATGTTGTTTGCAATTAATTACCAATGCACGAACATGAATATTCTCAAGACTGGGCCTGTGTATTTAATTACTTATCAAGTTATTTAATACAGACATAATGATGCATTTCTTTCTCACAAATAAAAATATTAAGATATTTATGATTACACATATATCAATTTTGTAGAAAACTTTCTTTGCCCTACATTTTCCCTTCCTTCTAGGTTGTTCTAAGAAAGTGAAGTTTTGCCACTGACCACAGACTACAAAACAGAAGGCATGGCCCTTAAGTGATATAACCTATAATTTTCTTCGGCAGGAAAACCTTCTCCCACTTCCTAGTATCTAGCTCATACTAGATGTTGGTCCATACCATGGTAAACTGTGGGATGTCACATTAGACTGACCACAGTGTCTTACACTGACCAGAAACTACAGCCATGTTTATTTTGGATTCTGGATGCACTAAAGTTATCAAGCAAGCAACATGTTGTCTTTGCACAGCATTTTAGGGCAAGATCCAAGACCAACTCAAATACAGGAAAAATAGTTAACCTCATTAAGTACTGATTTGGTTCATACACTCTTTAGGAAAAGCATATGTTGCATACATAGTAATTAAAAGAGTCCAGAAAAACTACCAATGCACTTACAATGGCTACTGTATTCAAATGTAGAATGTAATAAGGTAGTTTGCCAAAAGGCCTGAAAAGGAAGGCACTTTAATAACACAGACTTTCTGATCCAGAAGTATGTGGGGAGGCATAGGTAGGAGAGAATGCACATCACCTTTTCAGACATTTGTTTTCTGAGGTAAAACTGCTTTCACGCAATACTTCAATAACTTCATGCACACACCTACATGAAGTCTCTCCCTTCCCCCCCCTTCCCCCATCAGCAAAATCTGCTGAGTCAGTCTTTTGAGTATAATGTCTGAATCATCTTGTGATGTGGCAAAAACTCATCCCATTTTGAAATACACCTAATTATTTCTCAAGCTTCTTTCTATAAAAACTGGGAACAGTCAAGTAAATAAAAACTATTTATATTGTTTTTAACAAACATACATTTCACTATACAATTTTCTTCACTAAGCAGTTAACAAAGACAACAAGAAAGCAATTTCTGGAATGTGTAGCATTGAAATTCAGATATTATTCTGGATTTGTAAAGCGTAAATTATCATAGACTATATTAATTGGTAACAAAAATATTACATATACAGCATTAATGAAAAAAAGGCAATTATAGTCTAGATCTGATGAAACTTTGGCCTCAAATTCTGAACCAGGCAAGTCTGGAATCGTAGGTTATTCAATGTAATGTCTAGCAGACAAATAAGTACTTTCAGTTCAAATTCAATCTTTGAATTGACAGGGAAAGTAGTATAATAAAACAACAAGGATAAAAATCTGGCATTATCAGTGCACCCAGATACACTACAATTGATAGACAGGTGCAAGCCTCCATTAACCCAGCTGTCAAGAATGAACAAAACTGCAGAGCTCCATACTTCTTTTAAAAATGAAAAAAACACCAGCAAACTGGTACACTAACATGAGATTTTTTTGTTCAGTCAGTATCAACAGTATTACCTCCCATGTAAATTGTTCTGGACTTTTGAAACCTTCCATATGAAATGTCACCTATACATGAGCATATACACAGCTAGGTACGTAGCACATCAGTTGCAAGATGTCAAAGCCCAGCAAAATTAGTAGAGAAAGCAAAACCTATTGTTAACCCCTTACCTTATATATTATTTGGAAATTACATATCCATTCATTTGTTTTTGAAAAGCCAACTTTTATCTCAGGGTCACAATATATTGCTTCTCTACTCCCATCAGGCCCTGCTACTAAGATCAAAGAGTAGAACATACTCTGATGTGTAACCACAAACATGCTTTAAAATAAGCAAAACCCACACCTACTCTATCTGCAAGAGACCAATTCCCATGTCTTTAAATAGCTACATGACCTATGGGACTTATGCCACCTGAGGCATCTTTGTAACAAAAACAAATTGCAGTGCCACTAAATGGACTACTAATATTCTCTTATGGAGCTTCAGTATAGGTAATGTTTAAAAAAACAGGAATTTATTTGTGACACCAAATTAATGTAAAAATAAAATCTCAATAAAACCCACTCCAAAGTTATAGCATTATAATACTTGTCAGAAAAGAAATATCTGTAAATCCTTACTAAAGTTCTCACAAATAACCCCTGAGATTGTTGGCACCGAATGTTACAAAAACCCTCAGTTTTGTATTGTATTCCAGATTTTCAGTTTTACACTTCCACGAATGCAATTAATTCCAACAAGCAAAAGCATGAAAGGATTATATTCACTGAGGCATATAAGTGTACTTTTGGGTAGGAAATACTAAAGAATGTTAATGCTACTTGATGCAATAGTGCAACTTGTGTTTCCTGCAAGCACAACTCTAGAAACTCCATAGCATCACAAACCACAGCACAGAATCATACTATAAATCCTCTCTGTGTCTCTATTACAAATCAGTCCTGTTCTCATATTTCTTATATACACACAAGGGAAAACATGATTCAAGTCCTTACCTAGCATATACTATGTTCATCTAAAATAAACAAAGATCTGGGAACTTCTATTGACTTATTACATTCAAGCCTTTGCTTTCTTAACATTGGTTCCAGTAGCTTAAATTTTATTCTTAAGAATATTTTACTGCAAAAAACTAAAGCTTTCTCCACCCCACTCCTCCATGTCTTTTTTTTTTTTGCTCCTCTTTCTTTCTTTCATGCTTAATAAAGAAGCTTCACAAAAATGGTAAGCTTAGAGGTAAAGCATTTGACAGTGTTCTGGGACAGCCAACTCTAATCTAGTGGACTACACCATGTAATTGCAGCTTAGCCTTTAAGGCTTTGAATCAAAGCTTCATCTTGAGCCTGAATGACTTCAGTCACGTAGATATTATCCACATAAATGTTCAGCTGGAACAATGAGGAGCAACTAAAACTAGCCAAAAGCAGCAGTAATCCTGGCTAGGCACAGCAAAAGGTGCTACACTAGTAGTTGACCTATTGTTAGTGGAAAGGCTCTAAACTCAGGTTTGAGATGCTGCAATCTGCTATGCAGAAATTATAATTTTTTTGATCTATGTAAAGACAAGTGACTGCAAACTTAGTTTAAGGTTTACTATCAAGAACCTTGTTAGAACCCTGCAGCATCCTGCTGCAAGCACCAGCCTCCAATCTCCAGCTACTACCACACTGTCAACCTAACACCTGCCTTCAAGGTTCAGTCTGTCTTTTTAAACAGAGAAAAGTCTTACCTGTTCTCTCTCTCTCTCCCTCCCTCCCTCTCCCTCTCCTTCCCTCCCCATATGCTTTCCCTCAAAAGATAAAGCAATTGCAAAAAAGGTGCAATTAAGAAAGAACATAGGAGTCCGATATTTAGTAGAAAGGCAAATAAATAACCTGACTTTGTTATACAGAGAAGTAGCTCAAACTTTTTATGGCCTGCAACTTGAGAGGTTGCTAGAACAAAATGTCAAAGTTGGTTTTAATATAATATCTGAGAAAAGGTTTTAAAACACAGTAAAAACTGCAGAGAAGAAAGTGTCCTTTTTACTTTAAAAATATTTTTTTAGAAAGTTTGTTTTGGAATCAAAAAACATTGTCATCTAGGGATGAATCTGTCCCATCACTCCTTCTTATACGTGGGAGGAAGCAATAAAAGCTTTGTTTTGTAAACATTACAGTGGTTGAGAATAGGTGGTTGAGTGTCTGGAAAACTGCAATCCTAAAAACATTTCAAAAGCCTTTTATTTTAAACCGGGCAGATGGAAATAAGATAACATGGTTAGAAAGCAGGATCATTTCCATCACTCCTCTCTAGAGCTGCAGCTGAAGATAACTTCTCAGCAGCAGTTTTCAGGAGCTGGTGGAAGGGCCACAGATGCAGCAAGCGCACAAGCTGCAGGCACCAGATCTCTGAGAGATCTGTCAACTGAACAGGTCTGAGAGGCATACAAAGTAATCTCTCTCCAGCCTTAGCTACTGTCACCTTCCTTTGCCATCATATTTCACTGTTCCTTTACACAGCCAACACTACTGTCCCTTTCTCTTCACTTTTCCCCTCTCTATTTTTCTAGTCTACATTTTCATTGTAATGCCTTGACATTAATTCTTAGTGTTTTAACATCATGGTTTGTTGTTTTTTTTTCTTAATTCTGAATTAAGTTTCTTTCTGTGTTGATCTTCCTTACTCCCTGTCTACCATATACTCAATTGCTTTCCATCTTCCTTTCTTCATCCCTGGTGTTCCACACCAAGAAAGCTTGTCACCCAAGGTTTAAGACACATCCATTAAGAACTATGCAATTAACAAAGGAGCAATGCAAAGTAGTGGTTTTCCATCCTAATCTCCATGGTGGACTCTAACAGTTGTGTCATGTCTGTCCATGAAGAGAGAATGTCTAGACTGGGTCTGTAATGCCAGTATTACAAAAACCCATGGAATTTTCCAAAACCACTGGGGTCTGTGAAGGGCATACTATGTTTTCATTGCTTTAGGCACCTAGAATAGATGACTAATGACCTGGACCTTAACACTGAAATATCTTTGAGAAAGAATTTCATCTGCCAAAGTGTAAAGAATACAGTAATAAATCATGAATTTCAAGTAAGCACAGTGTCATCTTCTGTCTTTAAAAGGGCATTGTCAAAAAAGCAGAAAGCATACTGTACAGCGAAAACAAACCTTATCCACACTTGCCGGGGCAGCAGAACACTTACTCATGCTTATGAAAGTTATCTTTAAAAAGAGGTAATAACCCCAACAGCTCGGTTTTAGTCAAAAGCAGAAGATACTTAAAGTTTACTAAACTGAAAGGAGGTGGATGCTTCACTCACAGCAGCACAGCTACATAGCTAAATAAATCACATTTAAAAGGTTATCAGCAAGAAAACAAGTGCACCACT